CATCTCCACTGCACTTCACTCAGCGCTCACACATCTGGACAAAACAGACTCCTACATCCGAATGCTGTTCATAGACTTCAGTTCAAGATAAGACTACAAGACTACAAGATAAGTTGTAGTGGTGTTATTGAGTGTAGTATGAGTGTAGTGTATGAGTGTTATTGAGTGTAGTATGAGTGATCATTTTTTAGTATATTTATGTAGAAAAGTGCAAAAGGTGAAGCTTATGGGTCATAATACTGTTTTAGTGAGGTCAATGAAGAATTATAGTCCTAATTTATTTTGTGATATATTGGATAAAGTTGATTGGTCCGGGGTATGGGGATCCAAGGATGTGGAGGCAGCATGGGATTGTTTTAAGGATCTGTTCAGTAATGCTTTGAATAAAATAGCACCATATAAAAAAATAAGAGTTAAACAAAGATCAGACCCTTGGATTACAGATGAAATTTTACAACTGTTAAAGATAAGAGATGAGAGTTTTGCCAAGTTTAGGAAGGATAGTGATTGTAGCAGTTATGAGTTTTATAAATTAAAGAGAAATGAGGTTAGGAACAAAATAAGAGAAGCAAAAAGGGTTTTTTTTAAGGATAAGGTCAATGAAAATAAATTTGATCCAAAAAAAACTTTGGGGTGTACTGAGAAATTTAGGTTATTCAAATGCTAAAAGTAGGAAATCATCTAAAATTAACTTAAAGGTAGAAGACAAATTAATAGTTCATCCGAAGGATATTGCCGAATCTTTTAATCAGTATTTTATATTGTTAGCAAAAAAATTATGTGGTCAGCTTCCAGGGCAACCTGATATTTACAATGAAGATAGAGTGTTTTCTTTTTATAGACAACAGGACATTTTGCCGGATTCTTTTAGTCTGAGACCTGTTACAGAAAGTGAAGTTTTAAAAATTATTAGTGAGTTAAAATTAAATAAGGCTCCTGGAGTTGATAATATTCCTGCTAGATTTTTTAAAGACTCTGTTAAAGTGATTGCCCCCTTGGTGTCACATATTTTAAATTTATCTATTGAACAAGGGAAAATACCATGTGATTTTAAAAGTGCTAGAGTTATACCATTATATAAAAAAGGAAGTACGTTAGATATGATTAACTATAGACCTGTATCAATCTTAGGGGTTATGTCTAAAATTCTGGAAAAAATTGTACACGAACAGATAGTCAACTACATTACTAAAAAACATATTTTGTATGAGTTACAGTCAGGTTTTAGAGCATTGCATTCCACCGAGACATGTATATTACATATGACAGACAAAATACGGAGAGCTGTAGATGGTGGCAACTATTGTGGAATGGTGCTGCTGGACCTTCAGAAGGCTTTTGACACTGTGGACCATCAAATTTTACTATATAAATTAAAGGCAATTGGATTTGATAAAGTGTCTTTAAAGTGGGTTCAGTCATATCTGCATGATAGAAACCAGAGAGTCGATATAAAGGGTATATTATCTGCTCCCTTATCAATCAACTGTGGAGTACCTCAAGGAAGTATTTTAGGTCCATTATTTTTTCTTTTATATATTAATGATTTAAAAATAGCGTGTTCAGAGGAGCTCTATCTTTATGCTGATGATGCCGCAATTTTAGTATCTCATCATGACAAAAGGGCCCTGGAAGAAATTATGAGTTCACAGTTAAAAAGTGTTTACAACTGGTTTTTAGACAACAAACTTTCTTTACACATGGGTAAAACAGAGGCTATTTTATTTGCTTCAAGAGTGAAATTAAAAAAAGATGATAATTTGGTAGTTAAGATTAATGATTGGAAAATTCAGTCAAAAAATGTGATAAACTATTTGGGTTGCTTAATAGATAATAAATTATCAGGAGATGCTATGGCAAAAAAAGTTATTACGAAGATTTGTGGAAAAATTAGGTTTTTAGCAAGGCAATCTGATCTTTTGGATGTTCATTCTTTACAATTGTTGGCAGGAGCTTTAATTCAACCCCATTTTGATTATGCTACGTCATTTTGGTACAGTAGCTGCTCACAAAATTTGAAGGAGAAATTGCAAAAGGCACAAAATAAATTAGTACGAATAATTTTAAAAATGCATCCTAGAGCACATTTGCACAAAGAGTCTTTTAATAAATTAGGTATGTTAACTGTTAGTAATAGAGTGTGTTTTTTAAAACTGGGAATGGTACGTAAAATGTTTAATAATGTGGTTCCTAGCTATTTGATGAACTATTTTCAAATGGTGAGGCAACAGCATTCATACAGTACTAGGAGTTGGGATTTTAATATTTGTTTATTTAAATTTAGAAGTTTAGTGGGGAAAAATATGTTTTTATATACAAGTGCAATCATGTGGAACAAACTACCAAAAGCAATCAAGGAAATAAAAGATTTAAGGTTGTTCAAAAAAGCTATTAAAAGATGGTTGTTTGATGAGGATAATTAGTTTTGCATGGTGGATGAGGATTTTTTAAATTATGTTACTTGAGTGTGAATAGGTTGGCGGCTGGAGGGACATTGTGCTGGATGGGTTGGCTGTTTGTACCGCTGTGGCGACTGTTTGTTTTATTCTTCATTAGTATTATGAAGCCATACATTGTTTTAATTAAACAGAGGACCACAATGGAAATAAGCCCAGGGCTTTATTGTGTTTTTATCCTCGACAGTTTTTTTTAACAAAGTGTATGGAATACTTTTTGTACAGTTTGTCTAAAATCTGTCAAATAAAATTCAATTCAATTCAGCAATTAACACTATCATCCCCCAACAGCTCACTCAAAAACTGGTCCAGCTGTCAGAGTAACACCTCTCTGTGTAACTAGCTGCTGGATTTTCTCAGCGGAAGACCACAAGCAGTACTGGCCGACAGTAACACATCCAGCACCATCACTCTAAACACTGGGGCCTCTCAGGGATGCTGAGCCCTATCCTCTTCACTTTTCTGATTCATGACTGTGCACCATCTCACAACTCCAATCTTTTCATGATGTTTGCGGATGACACAACTGTGGTAGGTCTCATCAACAAAAACGATTAGAAAAACTACAGAAGCAAGGTGAGCCATCTGGCCGAGTGGTGCAGAGACAACAATCTCTTCTTAAATGTGGAAAAGACAAAGGAGATAGTTATTGACTTCAAGAAAGTGCACACTCTGCATGCTTCAATGACCATTAACAGTGCGTCTGTGGAGCATGTGAGCAGCACTAAGTTCCTGGGTGCACAAATCACTGAGGATCTCTCCTGGACAAAAAATCACAGCTACTTCCTCCACAAACTTAAAAGAGCAAAAGCACCAGCCTCAATCATGCAGACCTTCTACAGAGGCACAATTGAGAGCATCCTGACCAGCTGCATCACTGTGTGGTTTGGAGCCTGCAATGCATCCTGCAGGAAAACTCTTCAGCGCATAGTGAGAACAGCTGAGAAGATCATTGGTGTCCCTCTACCCTTCCTCCAGGACATTTACAGCACCCGTCTCACCCGAAAAGCCCTCTGCATAACAGCAGACCTCACTTACCCAATGCATAGCTTCTTCAGTCTGCTGCCATCAGGGTGGAGAATGCGAAGTCTCCAGGCCAGGACCAACAGACTGCAAGACAGCTTCATCCATCAGGCTGTCAGGAAGCTGAACCCTCTCCCAACTCTGCCACCACTCCCCTCTCCCTCCACATGCATTTTTGGACTCTGACACACATGAAAACAAACACACATGCACACATTCATCTGCACTGGTCACTTTATGTAACATTGGTCTACCAGTTAGACACATCATACTACGTTCACATATATTATGAAACTGTCACTTTATCATAATCATCATGTGCACAAGCCTTTTTGCAACATATACTGTTCTTTATCTGCACAACTCTGGTTTATAATTTTTTATTGTATGTATATTTTTAGACTACACATTAAATATATTTTTAGACCACATTTTATGTACAACTGTATATATTGTAAATTTAGATTAAACCATCGCAAGCAGGCTTGCACTGATTAAACTAATATCGCTGCTCATGAAAAGACTGGTATTGCTATTAACATGACGTATGCATATAATAAGGTACAGTATATGTCAAAATCAGTGCAGTATCATACAGCACCCGTGAGAACAGCACAGCAAGCGTTAACAGATTCAGTTGTGTCAAGCAGTGCGTGAAGGGCTGGTGAGTGGTCTGAGTATCTTTTGGTCCCTCATTTATGGTATTTTTTTGTGATAATGGGATTTCGTTGAGACATATTTTCCTCATGCATGCATATATTTTTTTGCTTGTTAGTTTGATTCGTGTTGATTTCAAATGCAATAAATTTGTTTGTATAAAACTTGTGGTAACGGTGCTTATAATTGGTGTGTGCGACAAAATTTTGGTTGATGCGCCTACATTTTTTAAATTAGGAGCACTGGTGCTACCAAGCAAAAAGGTTCATTTTGAGCCCTGGTCTACTTTACACATTTTAGAAAAACATTTTTTTGTAATTATGAATAAATACGAATAAAAACAGGTCATTTACAGCTTCCAAATCTGTCTTATCAATATGAACAAAATTACTTTTATGATCAATTATGTAAGAAACTCTGAAAACTGGACTGACAGATTCAATTAACTATAACTTCTATGTTAAGCGGCTTTGACACATTTTACATTGTAAAAGCACTAAATAAACATTAATTGTATTAAATCTGCTTAAATGTGTACACATTAATGGATAGAACAAAATATGACCTGATTAATTTTACATTTAATGTGCATCAAAATTACAGTGTGCATAGCCAATGTTTCCAGTGTCTTTTCACTTTTCAGCTTTTGATGAAGATTTTCATGCAGAGTTTTATAGACTTAATGAAAACGAATGTTTTTAAAAAAAATATTTTTCAGACCTAATTGAACAGAATGAGGGGAGTAAAGAGGAGGAACATCCTGTCAAAATTGAGGAAAAAACTAATTTACAGACTGATGGTATTTTGAAAAGGAGAGACAAGAATTGTTTCACCTGCACTCAGTGTGGAAAGAGTTTGGCAAACAAAAACAAACTTAAGATTCACATGAGGATCCACACTGGAGGGAAACCATTCACATGCACTCAGTGTGGGAAGAGTTTCAGCCTATCATCAAACCTTAATAAACAAATGAGGATCCACACTGGAGAGAAACCATTTATATGCCCTCAGTGTGGGAAGAGTTTTAACTTTTCATCAAATTTTCATCGACACATGAGGATCCACACTGGAGAGAAACCATTCACATGCACTCAGTGTGGTAAAAGTTTCAGCCTATCATCAAACCTTGATAAACACATGAGGATCCACACTGGAGAGAAACCATTTATATGCCCTCAGTGTGGGAAGAGTTTCAGCCAATCATCATACCTTAATCTACACATGATAATCCACACTGGACAGAAACCATTCACATGCACTCAGTGTGGGAAGAGTTTCAGCCTATCATCAAACCTTAATAAACACATGAAGATCCACACTGGAGAGAAACCATTCATATGCCCTCAGTGTGGGAAGAGTTTCAGCCAATCATCATACCTTAATCTACACATGATAATCCACACTGGAGAGAAACCATACACATGCACTCAGTGTGGTAAGTGTTTCAACCGCTCGTCAAACCTTAATAAACACATGAGGATCCACACTGGAGAGAAACCATTCATATGCACTCAGTGTGGGAAGAGTTTCAGCAAATCATCTTACCTTAATCTACACATGAGGATCCACACTATAGAGAAATCAAACAACAGAATTTCGCATGCTTAAACTCTAGTATGACCGCAGCTTCGGTGTGGGATGAGTTTCAGCAACTCCTCAGACCTTATTAAACACATGAGACTCACACTGGACAGAAACCATTCACATGTACTCAGTGTGGGAAGAGTTTCAACCGATCAGCAAACCTTAATGAACACATGAAGATCCACACTGGTGTGAAAGAGTATATGTGTTTGAGTGTGAGAAGACTTTTCTTACAGCTCCAAATTTGAAACTGCACCAGACGATTCACACTGTTACAAGAAGTTTTATTGGTTAACACATCTAAAAACAGAAGAGGATTCACACTGGAGAGAAACCGTACAGATCTGATCAGTGTCCACAGAGTTTCACTCAATCGCCGCAGCTTGAGAAACACATGGACAAGAAGTTGCACACATGATATGAATGGAGCACAACATTTTTCATATGCACAGGATTTTTCATGTCTGAATAATGTTTAAAAAGGCTGAGGGACGGTATACTCTTTTCCAACACTCCTACACTGGGGTTGTTGGTGGGGTTGTAAATGTGTCGCGTTTCTTCCACTCTCCACACTCTCCAGTGTATTCATGTAGCTAGTGTTGTTTTGCATGATGTTCTCTGTCTGACTCTCTGAATGAGAAACAAATCACTGGGAAGACACCGCACATCAAATAAGGTGAAGCTCCAGGATGGTTAGTTTGCAGAATAGCAGGGCCTCAAGTTTAGAAAGCCCATTCAATTGTCCTGTGTTGCATCTTTTATTAGTAAAGGATCTTTATTTTTAAGTTCTAGTTTACTACGGTAGGGATGGTATACAGTTTAACCCAAAGAATGACCAGTCTGTCAGATGAAGAAGAGCCGGAGTCAAAGATTCAAATAAATAAATGAAGTTTACTGAAGATAGTTTGCAGTTTCATCAGCAGAAGCCAGCTCAACATTTGCAATGAGTTCCTAGGCCGCTCTGACTTACAGTACAACAATGCAGTAATTATACTCTACACAAGTCCAGAAAGGGTGGGATCCAGGTAAACAGTTCTCATTGGTTACAGCAAAAATAGACAATTCTAAATGCTCGTGTCAATGAAGTATTGTATCTAGCTCCAGATATGGATGGCCTCAATGCGTGCGTTAAGAAAGATTTGTATCTAACTCCAGATATGGATAGCGACATGGTTCCTGGGGGTTAGGTCGACCCTAAGTTATTAAGAGCTGATCTCCGACCTGTGAAAAGCTAAATCAGGGTCACAAAAGACACAAGAGACCATCTGTGTTAAAATCTCAAGGATGTTTCTTGTACGGTGAGGCAGTGGGGCAGCAGGTAGTGCTGTCGTCTCACAGCAAGAAGGTCGCTGGTTAGAACCTCGGCTCAGTTGGTGTTTCTGTGTGGAGTTTGCATGTTCTCCCTGCCTTTGCGTGGGTTTCCTCCGGGTGTTCTGGTTTCCCCTACAGTCCAAAGACATGTGGTACAGGATTGGCTAAATAGACTGTAGTGTATAAGTGTGGGTGTGAATGTGACTGTGGATGTTTCCCACAGATGGGTTGCAGCTGGAAGGGCATCCGCTGCGTAAAAACTTGCTGGATAAGTTGGCGGTTAATTCCGCTGAGGCAAGGGACCAAGCCAACAAGAAAATGAATGAATGTTTCTTGTACGTTCAGCTGTGTTATGAAACTGGTTCCATCAACAGTCTGCTACAATATCCTTACTACACACAGTGTCTATCTCCATACAAAAGGAATTACTTTAATAAGAATTACAATCAAAACAGATGAATCAAACAGGTAAATTACTGTAGACAATATCAGGACAACTAGAACAGGTGTTTTTCTTCTCCTCTGCATCGATACTTTGTTCAGAGGGACAGAGAGAGAGTGATCTCCATGGCCTATGACCTGGTTTTTGTGTCTCCTGAAAACAAAATTAAAATAAGCAAACAGAGAAACAAGGACACTGAACATTCTTACATTAAGCAGTGTGAACGTATACATTAGATAAATCAAGTCAAAGTTCTATAATTAATAATTAAATTTAATAAAAATTAATTAAATAATTATATTTAGTAAAAAGTGATGAGAAACAGGATGTTGAGAAAAAGGATTAACGTTGATTTGTTGAGATGAATTTGAAGGTAGAACTCTAACTCCTTCAGTCCCCTGTTTTTGACCGAAGTGAATTAATCCGCTCCAGGTCAACCAGTGAGGTCACTAAAGAAAGTGGAAGTAATGACTCGTGCTCCCTACTTAGGTTACAGAGTTTCTTCGCCCTTTCTTGGACATGCTGGAACCTTAAAATTCCAGTCCCCAAGCTAAGGGCTCTTCCACCTTCTACTCATAATGGGCTTCATCCTTGTATTCATCAAGCTATTCGGTTTTGAAGACGATTCGTCAGTATCAGTTGACGTTTCTCATCATCAGTAGTATTGACGGTCCTGCAAGGAGAAAAGGAAATATACGAAAAACTAAACAGCGGACCAAAGACCAGAATATGAACACAAATGCACAAGCCCTAATAGTCATCCAGAATTAAACAACACATACTTTCATCGATACATCCTCTGATGCATTTACAACTTACTCCAAATCTAAATCCAAACATCCAGGGTAATTCTAAGACTCAAGAGTTCCTCTGATCAGACACAAAAGGTCATCCACTCAACCTAAGCCACACAGGATTCAAATTGAATAGTCCCACATGAAATTATCTATGTTGACCATTACCAGGCCACCATTACCAGGCCGAGCCAGAGAAGAATAAGTCAGGCAAATGCAGAAGACCAGGCAGAATTGAAAATTACTTAGTTTTTTTAATGTAAATGCTTTTTCTGTTTGTATATCTTGCAGTAATATTCTTTTGCATATAAAGTCTGTACTGCAGCAATTCTGTGTCTGTATTTTTTTTTTACATACAGTAAACTGTAAATTTTTTTTAAAGCTACTCTGGGATGGTCGTTCATTTTTTGTATTGAATTTCTGCAGCATAAGAAACAAAATGCATGAATTTACTGTACTAAACCCATAACACAAACATTTAGAGAGGCTTCAAATATAAGGGCAGAGCTGAATAGCTAAAATAGTGCTGTTTCTGTAATGTCAGCTGATGATAGTGTTTTTATTTTCGATGTGTTCTGATTGACTAAATGTTTCTGTTGCAAGAGAACGTTCGAGGTTACTAAAGTAACCCTTCGTTTCCCGAGGAGGGGAACGGAAGCACTATAAGTGGATTTGATGTTCTAAATTCACGTATGGGAGGATTCAGTTCAGAAGCTGCTCGTCTGAAAGAGTATTGAACGGGCCAATGAAAGCAATGAATTGGCAGCGCAAGCTTGCGCAGGTGTGCTGCATCGCCAATTAACTGAGCATATAAGCACACCTGGCGCCAGCAAACGCTATCCTTTTTAAGCTGAAGAGACTTTTAACAGCTAAGGGACAGTCATTCCTCGGGGAACGAAAGGTTACTTTAGTAACCTCGAACGTTCCCCTTCGGGGGGAACTTCAGCACTATAAGTGGATTTAATGTTCTAAATCCACGTATGGGAGCCCATTGAAAGCGCCATAATGCCATAATTGCACCTTACCAACACCCACCATGAGAGGGCAGTCAGGCAAGCGTGACGCACCCAAATCATGGGAGGCGCGGTCCTCCAACGTGCCCTTGGCCCTAACTTATCCCCACTTCAAAAGAAGCTTTACGGAATAGGTATATTTTTTTGGAAGTCGCTAGCGTCTTAATAATTTCTAGGAATATACGACAGTACGTTGGGAAGCGTGCCATCCCAGTAGGGAGGACGCTGCGGAGACCATCCGCACCCAATAGGGAGACAAATGGAGTTACATATGGACTAACCCTGAGAAGGGGGAGTGCACATAAGAAGGTGGTTAGCGGATAGGGAAGGCACAGGTCCACCCAGGGGGGGGAACTTAACCGTGGCGGAAAAGCATATGGGGATCACCAGCGGGGATCGGCCATAGCAGGCACCTGTACCCAAAAACGCGGGCTGACCAGCGGGCAGACCTAACGTAGTGGGCCAGCGAGTGACTCCTCCACTGAGTCAGTGCTGGGGGCCTCGGAGGAATCTGCAGGGCTCACCGAATGGAGAACTTTACTGACAGACAGGAGGGTGCACATCTCTCCGTGTTAGGGAAAAAAGGCACCGCAAGCGTGCTACAACACCCACCGAGTTGTTTCCTCAATCACCAAAGGTCCCTAAAACCCTTGAGGTAACCACGCGAAAATGCCTCCAGGTCCCCGAGCCTCTTAATGGAGGCCAACGCGACCAGCAGAGTCTTCAGGTACAGAAATCTTAAGGATACTGAGTCGAGCTGCTCGAAGGGATCAAATCGCAAGCTCGTGAGAACGAGGGCGAGATCCCAAGAGGGCAGGAGAGGGGGGGCGAGTTGGATTAATTCGCCTGGCGCCTCTAAGAAACCGGATGATGAGGTTATGCTTTTCCACGGTGCCGCCAGCCACTGCATCATGGTGAGCGGAGATGGCGGTTACGTAAACCTTGAGAGTGGAGGGCGACAGCCTGCTATCCAGCTTCTCTTGAAGGAAAGAGAGCACAACACTGATCTGGCAAGATCGGGGGTCTTCTCTGCGAGAGACACACCATTCAGTGAATAGACTCCACTTCAGGGCGTAGGCGCGCCTCGTGGAGGGGGCTCTAGCCTGAGTGATGGTAACGACCACCGCGGGCGGCAGGTTACCTAAGTCTTCCTCGCGTCTATGGACCACACATAGAGGTTCCAGAGATCGGGGCGAGGGTGCTAGACGGTGCCTTGTCCTTGAGAAAGTAGGTCCTCTCTCAAAAGGATCTGCCATGGGAGGGTCGTCGCGAGGAGGGAGAGCTCCTCTTCCGGTCCGGTTGGGCCAGAGGGGCGCAACTAACAGAACCTGTTCCTCGTCCTCTCTGACCTTGCACAGTTACTGCACGATCAGGCTCACTGGGGGAAACGTATACAGAGGCCAGTTGTGGGCCAGTGTATCCGTGCCGAGAGAGCCCTCGGTCAGGGAATAAAACAACTGGCAATGAGCGTTCTCGGGGGAAGCAAACAGATCGATCTGGGCCTCCCCGAATCGTGCCCATATCAGCTGGACAGACTCGGGGTGGAGTCTCCATTCTCCAGAGTGAATCTGCTGCTGTGAGAGCATATCGGCTGCACGGTTGAGCATACCTGGGATGTGAATGGCGCGCAGCGACTTCAGCCGCGGGTGACTCCAGAGGAGCAGACGGCGGGCGAGCAGAGACATGCGGCGAGAGCGCATACCCCCCATGCGGTTGATATACGCTGCCGCCGCCATACTGTCCGTCCTGACCAGCACGTGTTGCTGCTCCAGCACCAGAGAA